TCTCAGTTTACATTTAATACTGAACTTTATTCGCCCTGGAAAGGCGGGGGGGGGGAGGGGAGGGATTGGTCTCTGTTGCTGCCTGACTTACTCCCAGTTCCAAATGAGACATGCGAATCACTGGCCAGTTTGTAACTCTGGTATTAACTCTGAGGTTGTACTGTAGTTCTAAAATCTTGAAAAGTATAGTGACCAGAAATAATTACATGAAAGGATAATACTTCCAAGTTTTAATTGCAAAATGTTTTGAATACATTTTTCCCTTGCGTATCCAGCACATTTAAGGTTTAATTTTGCTGAACTAGTCAAACAATTGTAATGTTTTTGCACATTATAAATGAATTCCAATTTCCATCCAAATATAGCCGGACACAAATCACTAGTGAATACGTCATTCACCATTTTTAACATAAGTTGAACAGTTAGGAATACAAATGTATGGTAAGCAACAAAATTGCTTAATTGTATACGTACAGAGTATCATCGTATTCAGCAAAAAGAGTATTATACTTAGTTGCAAATCAACGTTTTAAATGGCTACCAATCAATGAGAATCAAAAAGTTTCTTTAGGAAGATAATCATAAAAAGCACGAATGCAAAACAAGAATACCATTGATGTAAATCAACGTCTTCTACTAGCCGATTTAAAATCAAATCACCCTAGTTATACCCTAGATCATCTCAGTCCTAATACAGGCTATGTCTAAACTACACCCCTCTGTCAGCAAAGGGATGTAAATTAGACGTATCGAAAAGGCAAATGAAGTGGGAATTTAAATATCCCATGCTTCATTTACATAATGGAAGCCGTGGCTCTTTTTTTTTTTTCGAAAAGCCAGTTTAGATGGAGCATTTTCGACAGAAATGTCCCTTTCAAAAGATCCTGTACGCCTCAAAATGATCTTTCGAAACAGGGCATTTCTGTTGAAAATGCCCCGTCTAAACTGCCGGGGGGGGGGGGCGGGGAGCCCCGTTTAGGGGAAAAAAGCTGCGGCCGCCATTATGCAAATGAAGCGTGGGATATTTAAATCGCCACTTCATTTGCATTTTCAATATGTCTAATTTACATCCCTCTGCCGACAGAGGGGTGTAGTTTAGACGTAGCCATAGCGTCCAAGTAGAGAGTGAGTTTAAGGATTTGTCTACAGTGGCATTTTACTGAACTGCATCTTTCTTGCACAAGGGTATGAAAAAGCACACCCTGAGTGCAGCAAGTTACAGCTCCATACACCACTGGTGTAAACAGGCTCCCAGCACTGGGAGCTAAGCTTCTTGTTTAGGTGGTGACCATTTAGGAGCACTTTTCCAGTGCTGGTGCTATGGCCATACAGCCCTTTGTTAAGTGTAGGCTTAGCCTTACTTTACTTCTCCTAGTAGCAGCAATTTATGCATCTCTCCACATATCAGACAGGTTTGCTATTCAGAGATAAACAAGTGGGTCCTTCTGGCTATAATCAATGAGACAACAGTTTTTCAAGGGAAATCATGAGTGTCCTATGAGAAGCAATTTAATTATAAAGTCTGACTGTGGTCTTGCTAATATCTTTTGTATAGGTTTTATCCTCCTAGAATATGTCTCAAGCATGTTTTGAGAACCATCAGATCAAGTATTGCTCAGGAATCACATACAGCTGTGCATCAGTTTTAATATAATTTAACCCTTTATTCAGGAATGTATTTAAAAAGTCTGTTGCTCTAAGCACTGCAGATATTTTATAGTATATCAACCTGCTTCTGCTTCCACAGGTTAGTAGGGACAAAGGCAGATAAGACTCATCACAAAACAGAATATGTGATGTTCTGCACCAAAAAGGAAATAAAGGATAAAAGATGCAAGCAGAGTCAAGGCAGCACAATACATCTTAAAGTAGAAGTCAATAGATAAATTGAACTACACAGCCTCAATCTGTAATGACTGTATGACTTATGCTAGAAGAAAAGAAAAGCCGCTCCTGTAATCTAGAAGAGAAGATTACTCACCTGTAACTGGAGATCTTCAAATACATTGCCTCTGCAGATCCACGTTCTTAGGAATGTGCATGTTCGCAGCACAAATCCCAAACCATCTAGAGAACAGTAACCTGTGGGGCTATGCACATGCCCTCTATGAATCCTTGTCTTTCCTTTCCCCTTCTCCCTCCTCCCGCACTCCTCGCCCTCTCCCACAAAGATCACACTGTAGACATTTCTGGTTCTTACTCCTTACATCATTGGATCATATGTTGCACTGTTGCCACCATTCCCATCACAAACATAATGAAGAATGGGGCATGATATTTTATTTTCACCCCCACTCAATACAATAGCTATGTATACATTATCCTCAGTTTTTAAATATCCTATATGGCTCTTCAAATCCATGCAGTAGCATGGTGGCACAATAAGCCAATTTTTTAAAAAGTGACTAGATTTTTATATGTACATCCTCCATCAACATCTTACTAAAAGAGATAATGCGATCCTGAATAAATAAGGGTATGTCTACACTACAAAGTTAATTTGAACTAACGGACGTTAGTTCGAATTAACTTTAATAGGCGCTACACTAGCGCTCCGCTAGTTCGAATTTAAATCGAACTAGCGGTGCGCTTAGTTCGAACTAGGAAAACCTCATTTTACGAGGATTAAGCCTAGTTCGAACTAGCTAGTTCAAATTAAGGGGTGTGTAGCCCCTTAATTCGAACTAGTGGGAGGCTAGCCCTCCCCAGCTTTCCCTGGTGGCCACTCTGGCCAACACCAGGGAAACTCATCTGCCCCCCTCCCAGCCCCGGACTCCTTAAAGGGGCATAGGCTGGCTACGGTGCCCGTGCCAGGTGCAAGCCTGCCAGCACCAGATAGCAGACCCTGCACCTGGCACAGCCTGAGCCAGCCACCC